AATTAATTTCTTCTCCCCTCAAATTTCATCAAAAGATAATAGTGGTCGAAAAAATCACGCTCTTAATTTAGGTGTTCACCTACCCAAATAAAAAATTTGCCAATTCTAGACGATTTGCAAAAAAATCATGCTATAGAAAACTAGTGCGGGAGCGGCGGGGTGGTAGACGTGATTTGGGTGACCTAAGGTAGGCTATCACATGATTTTGATATCCACAATTAGGTTCTTAATTCATCCCCAATGGTCCGGCGCTCTCACGCTAATCAATGAAAACACGAATTATGTATGAAGCGCACAAACTTTGCAGATTATATATTATCAGAGCGCTAATTTTGTGGATGAAGAGTGCAGATCTCGCCCAGCCTTATTATTGCCACTGATATACAATCATTTTTTAGATTGCATAGGTAGGGGAAGAAGACAAATAATACTTCCTCCCATGAATTATTTTTGTCATTCCTATACAATCTATTGAAGGGTTAGAAGTTTCGCAATGCATTCTTTGGGATTCACCGATTGATCAATCTACCAAGTCATAGATCCGAGCCACCGGTACCGGCCGAGAATATAGACAGTGCTTGTATCTCTTCCAAAAAAATTTCCAGATTGAGCCATAATGAAATGTACTACGAGGAGATTAGTTGATAACTTCAATTAAGACCACGAATCCGACAAAGAGCCATGACGGAGGAACAAAGGCGACATCGTGGAAGGGATGTTAAGTGGGTTGAAGGGTTGGAGTAGGCCAATGAGAAGGAAGGAGGGAAAGGAGATATTGGGAGGAAGTTTGAGGGAAAACTGAGGGGCAACAATTTATTTGGGGAGAGATGGATCCATGGCAGCAGTGAAAGTAGGGAAATTGAGAGCGAAAAAAGTCAGAGTAGAGAAGGAAGGGGAATAGAGAGTCAAAGAAGCCAAAACATAAGTGAATGGCATTGGCCATTGGAGAGACATGCAAAGAGACACAATTGTCTCTTTTTTTTTTTTAGGAAACCATCACATACGATACCGTTTCTTTAACTTTTAGATTTAGGTGAGAAACAATTATAGAGATGTATGTGGGAATATTTGAGAGCTTTTAGTTTATATCATTCATAATATTAGTAATTTATTAGGTATAGATCTTTTTTTTTTTTGCCATAGATAGATTGTAAATCGATAGTTGAGTACAAGAGATTGAAACAATAAGCCAAACGAAAACAAAAAAAATATGATAACAAGTAAAATGAAATTAAAATAAAATAGAGCAAACTAACATCATTACTTTATCACTTAGCTTAAGAAGAATGATACTTATCCTGCAATGCTGATTTCAAAATAACAATTAAGGAAGGATGATACTTATCCTTAGTCGAAAGAAGGAGGAGGATTGTGCCACACGTCTGTTGGAAAGCAAAAAGGGAGGCAAAAGCCACATGTGTTTCATGGCAATGGTGGATGGTGGAAGCAGCAGAGCTGTTGGCAAACGGAATCCGGCCATGGCATGGGGTGCAGAGAGTCTCTTGACAACTTTACGATTTGAACTAGAGTCGGTGCGTCAGAACGTCCTCGACAGTACCCTGGTACCTTTGCTTCCTACTGTCCATAATTGAGCTGCGGAGGAATGGACGAAGGGAGAGAGACTGGAATGGGGTCGGCGGGGAATCTGGCTGGTGTTGAAACCTACCACCACTCGTCAAGTAGGAAGCTCCTCCTACCAAAAAAAAAAAAACAGAGGAGCACCCCTTTACAGCGCTCCAAAGCCTTGGCAAAATGGATTTAATCCACCCATAAGCGTCAATCGAAAACCCAATTATCAAATCACGAAATCAATTAACGAATTGATTAACAAGGAAAGACACAAAGTCTCTTTTCAGGCAGGATTGGTGCTCCCTCTGTGTTCTTTTTATATTATTATCTTTCGGTAGAAAGCTTCTGTCTTGATACAGAGGTTTCATCCTCGAAAGATTTGTAACTCGGCATTTCAGCGATTCCAATAGAGCTCCTTCATAACCGAAGGAGGTGGGTAAGCAACAGACAAGAAATGACTATAACACTAGCAATGCTTACTTCAACTTGTTTCGGTGATAAATTTATATGATTATGCATTTGAGGTGTTTGGATTATGAATCCTGAAATTGGGTGGTGGCCAGTATAGTCAAAATTGCGCTTTAAAGCGTAAAATCGTACGATTTTATGTTTCTAGGGTAGGAAAACGTTTCAAATCACTAATAAAATCATTTTTCACTCAAAATCGGTCAAAAGCGTCAGTAGAATTGTTAAAATCGGTGAAATCGTATAAAATCGTGTTTTCAAACCGATTTCAAGCAAAGGAGAAAACTGCCTCCACCAAACCAAAACGACTCCGTTTTGTTGCATTTCGGACAAAAAAGAAGGGAATAGGGTGGATATCGGGACGAGGCTGCCAAACTCTTCCAAAATCCCTAATCGTGTCTCCTGTCTCCAGCACTCCAACGAGGCAGGCCTGCCGCCGCCCTCCTTACTCATCATCGCCTGTCTCCACCGTCGCGAGGCAGGCATTCCAGGCTCTAGCGAAGAATCTGCAGCTGCTACAAGGCTTTCAACCGTTGCCGCCAGTCCGCCACCTTCCAGGGAAGAATTTGCAGCTGCTACAAGGCTCCAAGCCTCCAACACGGCAGCGTTCGTCGCTTATCTCCCATCGGACTCGTCATCGCCTGTCGCCACTCGCCGACGACACAACTGGTTAGTTTCTGTCTCTTCCTTGTCCTAGCCCATCGCCACTTCAGTCTTCACCAATTTGAGTAGTTGTGTTTCATTGTACATCAGTAACTATGAAGATTCGTCGTCTACTCAATGAAGGGGAAAGCAATTGTTTTTATTAGTTCCTAGGACAAAGAGTTGGATTGTACGATTAATTAATATAGAGGCGGAGGCGGAAACAACGGTGGCTATTGTAGTGGTGGGAGATCGATGGATTGAAGAGTACAGCGGAAGAGCCATGTGGCCATGGCTCGATAATAGTTTTTTTTAATTTAGACATGAATTGCAGGAATTTATTCTTTTATCTAAACTTTGTGCACTCATATTTTACATAGTTTATGTCGTATTTAACAGATTTTTAACTATTATATAGGATGCGTAAAAACTTACACTTTTACGCTTTGATTCACCGCTTTTCGATTTTACCCCTTTTACGCTTTTAGGTAGAATTGCGCTTAAATCTAAAAAGTGTATTTTGTGGTAATTTAATATCTATTTAAATATGCCATGGTGAAATCGAGTTTAGTGGGTCTAAATGAATTTTTTAGATAAGGGTGATATATGTTACTTTTTTGTGATCAAGTACCACTGAAGATATTTGAACCTGGGACCTCGAGGTTCAAAGCTAGTGGTATAACCACTAGACCAATCCATTGTTCGTCTAAATGAGATCAATGGTGATGGATATTGATTGGGTTCGATGTTATCTACCTTTGGCCTTTGAAGTTTGGCGATGATGACGCCTTTACTCGTCTGCTTTGGTTGATTTCCTGGTCTGCTTTAGTTCATTTATGCTCTTTAATTTATTATTCTTGTGGTTGTTGTGTATGGTTTGTGATTGAGAAGATGAAAGAGGAAGTTGTTTTTTTTGCATATTTTTCGTGTGTTTTAGAAAGAAAAATCAGTATGTTTTCCTCCTTTTCTTTTGTTTGTATGTTTTGCAAGGGAAGAAGAAGTGGTGAAAGTCTCTCTATTTTGTCTCTTTTATTTGTGGGTTGTTTGGTTTAGGACACGAGGAGAAGAGAAGAGGATATTTTACTGTTTGTTTTGTGGGGAAAGGGAAAGGGAAAGGGAAAGGAAGGTCCAGAAGAAAAGGATGTCAAAGAAAGAAGTAGAAGAAAGATCTGTTTCCGTTTGTGGGGAGGAGGAAGAAGAAGAAAAGAAAGAAGACGACCCTTTGTTCTGTCTATCTTGAAGGGGATTGAGAAGTGTTGCGAAAGCCTTGTCATGAAAACTGGGTCGGACCGGTAAAAACCGGACCCGGACACAAATCCGGCCCCGGAAGAAAGGAAACAGGCGGCCTTAGTAGATTAAACGAGAGCCTCCCTCTTTTGCTATTTTTTAATAATAATTCAAAAAAGGTAACAAAGGTAACTGAAGAATTAAATAACCCTACCCTACTCCGCTTCTACAGCCACCTACTTTATTAGATTTTGACTTTTTCATTCTTTTTATATACTTATTTATTCTTATGTGGAGCCAAGTATCGGTTTATGATTGGTTTTCAATACCGGTCAATTAACGATTATCTGATAAACTGTGAACCTCTCATTAATCTGGATCGATGTCTAGTTCGGTTTTGAAAACACTGCGCAAAAGAGACGAAGATGGAAGATTTCTCTACCGTTCAGAGCCGGAAAGGAAGTAGTTTTTTGTTTTGTTTTCTTGTTTAAGAAAGAAGAAGGAAAGGGGCAGGAAGAGGAAGAAGAAGATAGAAAAGAAGGCTCTGTCCGAGAAAAGAAGAAGAATATGGAAGAGAGTTTCCCAAATCAAGAAGAAAAAGTAGAAAGGAGTGGGCGAGAAGTCCCTTGATAGAGTATCCTAGTAACTAAGGAGGCAAAACTCTAGCTAATGGTATAAAGAAGGAAAGAAGACAAAAGAGCAAAAGGACAAGGCAAGGAGACAAAAGACAAGGCCAGGCACCTGACATCAGCAAGGACAAGGGGCAGGGGGACACCCTCTGTCAAAAAGTACCATGTACAGTGTCAGAAGGTCTGAGGCGCCCGACCACAGCATTTATGGCTTGGCAGGCGCCCAGACCACTACCTAACCCTCAAATGTGTATAAATAGGAGTTCTCTCCTCATAAATGGCAATCTATCTACTCTTACTATTACTTCTCTCTACTTTCTCTCTCTATATACTTCTTCTCTTTTCTCACTTCTACTGAGGTGGGGCGCGTACCCCCTCAAAGTCATGGCTGACGCCCCAAACCCCTTGGATCCGAGTGACTCCCAGTCGCCCGGGCTCAAACAATTGGCGCCCACCTTGGGGCCAAGCATGACTTTGAAAGACGCTTCCAACTCAAAGAAGGGGGAAGAAAGGAGTCCGGCACCAACGAAGACCCCTATCAAGCAAGTCGTTGGTCGAGAAGCGATCAACCCTCAACCACTCACCATCCAAAGTTTGGAAGCATCCGACGACGACGATCCATCAGGAGAGGGAGAAGACACGGAGCGCCTGGAGGGCCAACTAGCGAAGCTTCGGGAAAAGCAAGCACTTCAAATGGCCAGCACGCAAGGCCAACTGGATCAAGTCATGACCGCGTTGTCTGCATTAACAAAGGCAAACAATCACGCGCCTCCCAATCCCCAAGAAGCCACAGAGGAGAGGAGGCGCCTCCGAGGAAAGATGCAAGAGGTTGAGGTGCTACCCATGAACTCCCCACGGGAGGGTGTGGGCGCCTCACCCAACGAGGACGCAATCGAAGCTGACGACGATGTCTACCTGGAGAAGTACGCCCGACTCAACTACGGCGCCTCGGAAGAAAGAAGCGCCCTGCAATTTTTGTAGGGGGAGGGCCGCCCTTTAAGTAGGCGTAACCTAAAGACACCCTAAGAGAGGCAAAAGCGTGCTAGGAGGAGTCCTTTTATTCAGTTTAAGTTGGTAATGTTAGGAATTTTCGGGGAAAGGGACGCGCCCTGGCGATACCCCATGTAATTCCCTATTTTGCTCAAGGAACGGATATTCACTACTCGACAATGCAAAGCTATCCCTGTTTTAACAGATGGAGTCACCCCAGACTCGCTTCCTCCGTCGAGGAGAAGCCTAAGCGTGTTACCACCTTCTCAGGGGTACACGTAAGAAAAATCAAGTTTTGCTTAAGATAGTCATCTTAACAAAACCTTACCCGCAACCAGCGGAAGAGCCTTAGTGCTTACGCTCAGATCTTCATCCGAGCGTCGGGCGCTCGTTTTACGAGTCCCCATGAGAGGTGGCGCCTTGGCCATATCCCTCGCAAAATCCCTGCCTTGTCAGAAGGGGTCACCCAGACCCGCTTCCTCCGTCGAGGAGAAGCCTAAGCGTGTTACCACCTTCTCAGGGGTACACGTAAGAAAAATCAAGTTTTGCTTAAGATAGTCATCTTAACAAAACCTTTTACCCGCAACCAGCGGAAGAGCCGTAGTGCTTACGCTCAGATCTTCATCCGAGCGTCGGGCGCTCGTTTTACGAGTCCCCATGAGAGGTGGCGCCTTGGCCATATCCCTCGCAAAATTCCTGCCTTGTCAGAAGGGGTCACCCAGACCCGCTTCCTCCGTCGAGGAGAAGCCTAAGCGTGTTACCAAGTTCTCAGGGGTACACGTAAGAAAAATCAAGTTTTGCTTAAGATAGTCATCTTAACAAAACCTTTTACCCGCAACCAGCGGAAGAGCCGTAGTGCTTACGCTCAGATCTTCATCCGAGCGTCGGGCGCTCGTTTTACGAGTCCCCATGAGAGGTGGCGCCTTGGCCATATCCCTCGCAAAATTCCTGCCTTGCCAGAAGGGGTTACCCAGACCCGCTTCCTCCGTCGAGGAGAAGCCTAAGCTTGTCACCTCCTTCTCAGGGGTACACGTAAGAAAAATCAAGTTTTGCTTAAGATAGTCATCTTAGCAAAACCTTTTACCTGCAACCAGCGGAAGAACCTTAGTGCTTATGCCCGGATCTTCATCCGAGCGTAGGGAGCTCGTTTTACGAGTCCCCATGAGAGGTGGTGCCTTGGCCATATCCCTCGCGAAATTCCCTGCCTTGTCAGAAGGGGTCACCCAGACCCGCTTCCTCCGTTGAGGAGAAACCAAAATGCATCACCTCTTTTCAAAGAGGCTACGCGTAAGAAAAACGGGTGCCTTAAGACGCCTTGAGGCTGAACCTGCATTATAAATAGGTGCAAGTATCATAGAGCGATAAACAAGGTAAGGAGCTTAGCAAAATCCAAGGAATGGCGTTCGAAAATACGAGGGGCAAAACCTACCTATGTTGGTAGGCAAGAGCGCCTAAAGGATCGGAGGGGAGCTCTCGGTAACACCTGCAAAAGCAGTAAGATGAGAAAACTAGAAGGCGGCGCCTTCAATTGAAAAAACGCCTAGCAATAACGAAGGGCGGCGCTTACTTGTTGATGCGTCTCAAAAGCACCTAACGAGCTGGAAGGGGAAACTCCCAACAAATAACAATTATGGAGAGGTAACTTTTGCAAAGGAAGCAGAAACAGTTAGAAACAAAAGCGCCGAGAGAAGGAAGAAGGGGAGGCGCCTGCCAGCAGGGGAGAGCAGGCGGCATCTTCAGCGGAAAACTACATAGAAGTATGATGGAGCCCGACGTCCGGAGGCGCCTCTGTTTCAAACAAAAGAAATAGCGAATGTTCCCCTTCGAATAGCCGAGTTAAAACGTACCTAATCTACGGAGTGAGGCTCCCGACAGAAATGGTCAAAGCGAAAGGCGCCGATGAGAGCCTTCAAGGGGGGAGCGCCTAGGAGAAAGAAGGCGAAAGGTATCTACCGTTTAACAAGAAGCAAAGGCGCGAAAAGTAAGGAAGGAGGCGCCCCCAATTGGAACGGAGCAGCCAAATCAGATCTGTCTTCATCCGTTTCATAAACCAAAGAGCCTAAAAAAAGGGAGGTGGCGCCTCCGACCGAAAAAAGTGGCGAAACTCACCTCGATGCGTGGAAGAGCTTGACATTGAAAAAGTCTCACAAGGGGTGATTGGGCGTTCACCCATTAGCCTATCCTCGTTTTAAAACAAGTTTGACAAAGAAAAACAAGCAAAGAAGTGGGGGTGCCAGACATCCTACCACTGAAGGTCAAGCACTTCGCTGAAGGAGTGAGGTGTCAGGCGCCTTACCAAAGGTCAGGCACCCCGACAAAGGAGCGAGTCGCCAGACACCTCATTGAAGCGCCTGTACGCTCAAATAAACCAAAGCAAGTAATGTTAGACTTACAAGAGTAAGGTTCTAAGTTGTTAGTATCATACATAGACGAAGGAATGAGAAGCCAGGCGCCCCACTGAAGGCCAGACACCTCGCTAAAAGAGTGAGGTGTTAGGCGCTCAACCGAAGGTCAGACACCTCGGCAAAGGAGCGTCTCCATGTGCCCCACTCAAGGTTAGGCGCCTTGCTGAAGGAGAGAGGGGCCAGGCGCCCCACTGAAGGTTAAGCACCTCGCTGAAGGAGTGTGGTGTTAGGCGCCTCGCTGAAGGAGTGAGGTGCCAGGTGCCCAACTGAAGGTCAGACACTTCGGCAAATGAGCAAGTCACCATGTGCCCACTCAAGGTTAGGCGCCTAGCTGAAGGAGTGAGGTTCCAGGTGCCCCACTCAAGGTTAGGCGCCTGGCGGAAGGCGCCTGGCTGAAGGAGTCGCCATGTACACCGCTGAAAGTTAGGCACCTCGCTGAAGGAGTGTGGTGCCAGGCGCCTCGCTGAAGGAGTGAGGTGCCAGGCGCCCAACTGAAGGTCAGGCACCTCGGAAAATGAGAAAGTCACCATGTGCCCCACTCAAGGTGCTGAAGGAGTGAGGTGTCAGGCGCCCACTCAAGGTTAGGCACCTCGCTGAAGGAGTGTGGTGTCAGGCGCCTCGCTGAAGGAGTGAGGTGACAGGCGCTCAACTGAATGTCAGACACCTATGTAAATGAGCGAGTCGCCAGGCACCTCACCGAAGGAGTGAGGTGTCAGGCACCCTATCAAATGTTAAACACCGCGACAAAGTAGCGAGTCGCCATGTACACCGCTGAAAGGTTAGGCACCTCGCTGAAGGAGTGTTGTGCCAGGCGCCTCGCTGAAGGAGTGAGGTGCCAGGTCTGGTACCTCGGCAAATGAGCAAGTCACCAGGCACCTCGTTGACTTTGGGTCTTAAGGCAACAAACGACAAGCTGTGTGACAAATGCTTACCAAAGACATAAGCGAAGGAGTGAGGCGCCAGGCACCCCACTGAAGGTCAGGCACCTCGCTAAGAAGTAAAATGTCAGGCGCCCAACTGAAGGTCAGACACATCGGCAAAGGAGCGAGTCACCAAACACCTCGTTGAGTTTGGGTCTTAGGGAAACTAACGACAAGCTGGGTGACCAGTGCTTAGCCAAAGAATCGAAGCAAGCACTCTTCTAAAAGAGCACAAGCAATCGAAAGAAAAATGAAGCATCTTAGACAATGAATGGAAAGCATTTGAATATCAGTGGTATCTTTTGGCAAAAAGAAAAAAAAAATTGGAAAAGAGCGCTAGGCGCTCGTTTCAAATGGGCAAGGCACAATCAAAGGAAAACTGACAAGTTTGTTTCAACTTCATTTGATTGTCAAGATAGATGGAATACTCTAACACGAGCGTAGGCACATCCTCTAAGATGAAAGAGTAGTCACTTAGGAAATAATTGATGAAGAACGGAAGAATGCAAGCGTCAGGCGCTTGATAAAAGGGGCATGATTGCTTCTTTTGATAGTCTCCGTTACTTGAGACATGTGTTTATTCTTCCTCATTTTACTACACCTTATTTGGAAGCAAGCACACCCACACGGGTGCACAAGCGCTCAACAAATCAGAAGATCAATAAGGGAATGAAGCACCCACTTGAAAGGAAGAGCCTGGTGCCGATTAACTAAAGAAAGAGAGCTGGCACTTGATTGTGAAGACGAGAAAGCAAGGTTAGTGAAACTCACTTTATGTTGACGCCGCCATGATACTCATACCGACGTCAAAGGGGCAATTGATAGAGTATCCTAGTAACTAAGGAGGCAAAACTCTAGCTAATGGTATAAAGAAGGAAAGAAGACAAAAGAGCAAAAGGACAAGGCAAGGAGACAAAAGACAAGGCCAGGCACCTGACATCAGCAAGGACAAGGGGCAGGGGGACACCCTCTGTCAAAAAGTACCATGTACAGTGTCAGAAGGTCTGAGGCGCTCGACTACAGCATTTATGGCTTGGCAGGCGCCCAGACCACTACCTAACCCTCAAATGTGTATAAATAGGAGTTCTCTCCTCATAAATGGCAATCTATCTACTCTTACTATTACTTCTCTCTACTTTCTCTCTCTATATACTTCTTCTCTTTTCTCACTTCTACTAAGGTGGGGCGCCTACCCCCTCAAAGTCATGGCTGACGCCCCAAACCCCTTGGATCCGAGTGACTCCCAGTCGCCCGGGCTCAAACATCCCTCTTTTGCTTTGCCCCTACTCTGTTTTTTTATAGAAAGAAAACAATAGTAGAAATACTGTTTAACCTAGGGTGTTAGTTTGTGAATGGCCATTGGGAAGCTAGACCATTAGGTAGGTATACTGTAGCGTACAAAACAGGTTCTGGTTTTCGGTTGGACCAGGTGATCAATGGGTTAAGTCAGTGTGTGTTGACCAGTTATTGACTTTCTTTGACCGAAATTTAACTCGAGACTCGATTGACTTCTGGGCCTGGGCCTTGACCATTGTTGACTGATGTAGGCTTGTTCTTAGATTTGACATGGGTTTGGGGTTTGGCCTAGACCTTTTTAATTAAGATGTAATGTATAATTGTAATGGAATCTGCATAGTAAGTCTAATAAAAATTGTAACTCTTTTAT